ACTTTTCTAAACTCTGGCTGTATTTCCAGGGTAGTTTTTGATCTAAAGGTTTGTTGTTAAAGCTGAACATAAAGTGTCCATACCAATCTCTTGGGTTCTGCTGCCAGTAATTAGAATAAGAATAGATATGGGCAAATAATAATAAGCATGGAAAATTGTCAGTACAAAACCTTTTTTCTTTGTTTTGTTTAGTGGTGACAAAGGTAAAAATGGAAAGAAAAAGAAAGAGAAAGAAGAGAAACCACCAGCTGTGCCTTTTTTCAAACTGGTAAGCTGAGTAGTCAATGCTAATGGTATCATGATGGTTTTAAAAGAATTTGGCTTTATCTGCATGTACTCAGTGTCACTTACAGTGTATACAGATTTATCCCAACTCTGTAGAGGTGACAATTAACATGTTTAATTGACCATTCACTATTTTTATTCACGCCATCTGTTGTTTTTTGTCTCAGTTTCGTTTCAGTGACAAGTTGGATGTTCTGCTCATGGTTTTGGGAACTATATCAGCATTTGGTCATGGTGCAGCTGTCCCTCTCCAGTTTATCATCTTTGGAGACCTTATCGACAGTTTCATTAATCATGGAAAAGCTCAGGCGCTAGCATCTCAAAATGAAACGTCATCTGTTCCAGATGCAGGTCCAGATCTTAATGATCAGATGCAAGACTTTGCACTGTACTATGTTTACCTGGCCATTGGAAACTTGGTTGTTGCCTATGGCCAAATGGCGATGTGGACACTTACTGCTACACGCCAAGTGAGACAAATGCGTTTGGCTTTCTTTAGATCTGTCTTAAAACAGGACATTGGCTGGTTTGACACAACTGATCCAGGAGAGCTCAACAGTCGACTCACTGCGTAAGTACTGTATTTGATTATAGCGATTTACAACATGAAAATTATGGTATTAAAAGAAATTCTGAAAACCTGGTGGCTTATGGTTTTTACAGCATGATCTGTGATGAACAAGCACATTTAATCATAAATATTTTTTAGTTAGGCTTGGCATATCTTCATCTTTAATGTGCCTGCATGTGCACTTACAAGAACTTTTTGATTGACAAGGTTTTAGCCAGAATTTGAAAAGTCAATATCCAGGGCCAGTTCCATTAGACAACCCTTCTATAGGGATCTTGAGGGCTCAAAGTGAAGCATGTATAGCTATATTAGGTTGAATTTCAATCCACAGTTTTTACTTAAGTTTTATTTGAGGTTTAACAGATTGCTATCATGGTGAATTGTCACCATCATTTCACATACATGTACAAAACCTTTGAAGTCAAACATTTTATTACCATGTAAATACCAAAATGTTTATTTATGTCTATGTTTTGTTTTTGCAAAAGGGGTTTTGGGTAATTAATGTCATGTGCAATAAATAATACCTACGGCCTTTTTTACAGTATAAAATTTAATGTATTCTAAACAGAGTGGCTCTAATGCCCAGCAGCTGAGTCTAAGGGTCCAAAAATGATATTCTTAAGGCCTAAAATTGTCACACTGGTTTTCAACAAAAAGGCTCATGCAAAACTCTTGAGAGCATCCAATGTTTCTTTTTTCTGGCTCTGATTTGCCTCAATCTCGGTAAATTGACTTCAATAAGTTATATTCTAAACACTGACCTGGACTTTTTTCACTCGTTTTCACATCTTTGGAAGAAAATCTGTTGGGTCAAGATTGCTTTCTCTCACAAAGATGATGGTGTCTTATGCCAGTATGATACATAAATGTAGCTTCTGTTTATAATGTACAAAGTCAAAATCAAATCCCTCAGTATCTTAGCTGTCTTCTTAGGAATTAAAGGAAAATAGGAAAGAGCTCAGGGAATCAGGTTGTTTACATCAGTTATTGTGACGAGAAACACAACACGTGAGTTCTTTAAAATGTGCTGGCGTGATGGTAATGGATGGCTTCCCGGCATTCATTGCAATCTCGCTCAGTGGACATTTCATGGCTTTCGGGGTCTGGTAAGCATCTTTAAGGTTGCCTGTTGATGTGAAAACAACATTTTCCCTTATTTTTGAAGTGAAGATAATTAAATTATTACTCTCAAAACTTGAATTGAGACAAACTTATTTGCTTTGATACATGGAACAGAAACTTGTTTTGAGATTTTTTTTTTTGGCAATTCAGAGTGAAAAGAGCAAAAGATAACCTAAAATTCGACATAAGGCAGATATGCCTATGGCCCTTCAATTATAAGACGTATAAAATCTTCTTGAACACTTATGGCAGACTCATAGTTAGAAATTATTTTATTTTCTAACTGGGAGTCTGAAATTGATAAAATTAACAGTTAATTAGTTGCTTTAATTAAGCCATAATTTATGGAAACGAAGTTAATTAAGATCCATTTATATTTTTTCACAGAGATCTTGACAAAGTAAATGATGGCATTGGTCAAAAAATTGGAATGTTCCTCATGTCCCTCACATTAGTTTTAGTTGGATTTATCATGGGTTTTGTGTATGGATGGAAGCTCACCCTTGTTATCATTGCTATAAGCCCACTGATAGCTATAGCAGGTGGAATAATGGGAAAGGTAATCACAAGAGTCCAGTGGAAATATCAAATCAGTGCACTGTGCTCTGTTAACTGTTATCATTAGATAATGAAATCTTATAAAAGAAATTATAATAACTACTGTATCCAGAATAATCAAGGTCAAGGTAGGGGTTATCAACCGAAGCCGAAGGCTGAGGCTAATAATCCTCACTGAGACCTTGATTATTCTGGTTATCACAAAAACCAAATCTACTATTTGTTTTATTATACATTGAACGAAAAAAAGAATGGAAGTTATGTTTTGGCTTCTTCATTGACAGCAAGCAACACGAAGCACACAAACTTGACATGATTACTCTTAGAAATCATGCACTGCGGTCATATATTACATGATTACCCCTGAGTGTCCTTGACATGATTATTGTATAATCTGCAGCTAGATGACGTCACAGACGCTGAAAATTGACTGTACGTTTTCGGCCACTCAAAAAATAGATAGTAGGTTCAATGTATAAATAATAATTATTATTAAACTGTGATAATAAAATCAGTAACAATTTTATATTTTTGTTACAAATCGCTTCATAAAATAATTTTTGCTTATTGATGTTTAGTTCCAATAAATTAGTTGTATGACTTGACACATGTACAAGTACAATACCTGATTTAAAGTCACTCAGTGTGACTTTTGAATGTTGTAGTTGTTGTCTTCAATTACAACCAAAGAACTTGATGCCTACGCCAAAGCTGGGAGCATAGCAGAAGAAGTGCTATCGTCAATAAGAACTGTGGCTGCATTTGGAGGAGAGAAGAAAGAAATTGAGAGGTAGAAATCACTCTAGCAGAATCCTTGTGTTTGTGATGATGATAATAATACTAATAATAATAATATCTAATACGAAATTCTCGATCATGATTGGTTCTCTGTGTGCCTATTTGCCACGTAATCGGAGTGCAATCACGTGGGTGTCCAATAACAGGTATCCAATTTGAACTTTTTGTAATGGGACACCCACGTGATTCGCATGTCAATTGTGTGCTCTTTGATTGCTTTCTTTGTAATGTTTCCTACAGTTTTCAAAACTTATGAAACATGCTACATACGTTTTTGCTCAAGAGAAGTTCTCAAAAGACATTTTTAATTCTGAAATTTGTTATAGATGCAATTAATTAGTAATTGGACCTCATGACACTTATAAACAATTATTGGATGAGGTTTCTGTGATATCCAGAATAATCAAGGTCAAGGTAAGGGTTATCAGCTGAAGCCAAAGGCTGAGGCTGATAACCCTTACCGAGACCTTGATTATTCTGGATATCACAAAAACTGAATCTAATAATTGTTTTATTATACATTGAACGAAAAAAATGGAAGTCATGTTTTTGCTTTCTTCACTGATGGCAAGCAACACAAAGCGTGCGAACTTGACATGATTACCCGTGACCTTGAGTGTCCTTGACATGATTATTGTATAATCTGCAGAGATGATGTCACAGGCGCTGATTTCGAAAATTTACTGTACGCTTTCGACCAATCAGAAAAGAGATAGTGAGCTGAATGTATAATAATATTATATAGCACTGTTTTCTGGTGGTTCAACAGCGCTTTACAGATCTAAAAATTCGCTAAAATGATCATGCAACATGAATTTAAAGAAACCAGAAGTGAATATTGTTGAGGAGCTAAATGATTGTTTTTCTTGTAATTACACTGGATTTTATGAATTCGTGCATTGAATGAATTTTAGAATTGTAAAACTCAATAATTATTTAAATGCATGTACACAGAGCTACTAGTAAATTTACAGTGCCTTTAATCGCCAAACTGTAAATTGAGTTTAATTACATGTATCTCATAAATTGTGTTGATTTGTAGAGTTTCTTAAATTATTTTTTAAACATTTGCAACAACTGAGAACTTACTATGCTGTGGGAGAGTTCTCAGGAAGTCAGTTTCTCTTCTACAGCTGCATGAATATCTTTAATTGTTTCCTCTAGATATTCATCACATCTGGGAGATGCTCAGGCCTTTGGCATCAAGAAAGGTGTAATGTCAGGACTTGGTATGGGCTTCTTCCAGTTAATCATGTTTGGCAGCTATGCTTTGGCCTTTTGGTAGGTTTATTGTTGTATAATCCAGCAAATATTATTAATANGATTGATATCGATTGCCATCGATTGTTATCGATTATCGGTTTCATCGATTGATCACGCTGGGCATAATTATGATCTAACTAATGATGATGATGACGTTGATGATGTTTATGAAAATTCTTTTCATTGGTGTCCGCAATTTATCTGATGGCTGTTTTTAATTCTTCCTCAGGTGTTTTTTTCAGTTATGTTCGGTGCCATGCAGCTGGGTCAGGCTGGTCCCAACTTTGCAGACATAGCAACAGCCCAAGGGGCAGCATATCAAGTGTTCCTTGTGATTGACAGGGTAATTAATTTAATCACCTGTTCTATTGCCTGGTTACTTTCAGTAAACATGCAACACCCGGTTTCAGTGTTACGTGCATACCATCTTTCAACATGCTATGGTTGGAAGACTGTTTAACTGTGAAACTGGCAATTTTTCCAGTTTTTAGCAGAAGAAAATAATGACAAATAAACGATAATTTACTGACCTCAAATGGCTGAAGGAGATTGTGGTCTTAATTGCATGTTTCCCGATTTATGGGATAATTTAAACGATTTTACTGTAGTTGATTGGCTCTCAATAGTGACTTCCAGTAGAATTGGGCTGCTACCACTTAAGTGACAATAATATTTTTTTTGTAATTCCTTTATGTTTGGTCGCTTTTGGAATTAACTAAGCTTATTAATCTAACTCTGAAGTTAACTCCAGCCTCTGATCCACAGTGCCTTTCCACAGAAGATGGCCTTACTAAAGTATGAGTACTCAGCCTTATTTCTGTTTTTTAGGTTCCTCCAATTGACTCAAGTTCTACCGAGGGTGAAGTGCTTGATGATAGTTCATTTAAAGGAAATGTCAGCTTCAGCAACATTGAGTTCTTTTATCCATCAAGACCAGACATTAAGGTACCTATTAAGTTAATGTAAAGAATTACTGTTAAAAGTAAAATTTACATTACAAACTTATTTACCCATCAGAGTGGAACTTCTCTCAGGTTTTATTAGTATGAATTAAGAGACAAGGAGTACTTCTTACCCCTGCCGTGCCCCCCCACCCTCTCAGAAGCAATTCTAGGGTTACCTCCAGTGTTAAAGTTACTGGTACCCATTTATCAACCTGGCCCAGGTTGTTCAAATGGTGGACAAAGCTGTCCAACAGATAAATCACTATCCAGTGAATAGTGTGGTTTGCTCTGTTAACACTTTTCCACTGTATAGCAATTTATGCAGGGGCCCAGCTGGAGAGAGCTGAAGTGGAAGTTTTGTAACTTGCCTGATACCACAACACATTTGTACCCTGGCAAGGGCATGAACCCAGACAACTTGATCTAAGTCCAGTGGACCAACAACTTGGAGATCACATTTTCCATTTTTTGATATGACTGTAAATTCTTGCAATTGCCTGTCAGTGTTTGGCATCGTACATAGATTGTATATTGGCATTGTGGGAAATTAACAGCAATTTGTGAATGAAAATGTTGGTTTTTCTCTCAGATTTTGAATGGTTTGAGCTTGAGTATTGACAGTGGCTTGACTGTTGCCTTAGTGGGTGAGAGTGGCTGTGGGAAGAGTACAGTTGTCAAACTACTACAGCGATTTTATGATCCCAATAATGGCCAGGTAAGACCTTTGATAATGTTGACTCTAAACTGTAACTACAGTAAGATTTTGCTAGAATTATTTAACTCCAATTATGAAATAAGAACACAGTCAGTGAGCAATTAAGGAGGTGTACAGTATGAACATAGTTATAATTTGTGTTTTAAAATCTAGTTAAAGCAAATATTATGTACTTTGATTAAGCAGGCAGGCTGGCCATGTTTTAGCAGTACTTTGTGAAACTTGGCTGAAAGAAAAGCATAGCAAAAGTGCAATTGTCCTGCCCAAGAACAGGACACAAAGAGCCTGTTTATCACTTTTAAGTTATTGTTCCACTACTCATGCATGCATACTGAACACAGTGTTAATATATCTTTCTTTTTTTGTGTGTGAAGGTGCTTGTTGATGGCCGTGACATTCGTAGTCTGAACTTGAAGTGGTTGCGTGAACACATCGGTGTTGTGAGTCAAGAGCCCGTTCTTTTTGCCACTACAATAGCAGAGAATATCCGGTATGGAAAAGATGGTGTGACACAGGAGGACATTGAAAAGGCAACAAAAGAGGCAAATGCTCATGATTTTATCATGAGACTTCCTCAAGTGAGTGGATTCCTTTTTGGTATTCAACTGCATGATGAAAATGGCAGGTTTTAAACAGCATATTCCCTTAACATAATGATGTCACTATTTTTAATTTACAAGGATTTTTGCAAAGCTTGAAATAACAATTATTTTGATTTTGTAAGTTTTTTTTATATATTGTTTTCCCTGATCTTGTAGGGCTATGATACTCTTGTTGGTGAACGTGGGACTCAGCTCAGTGGAGGACAGAAGCAGCGGATTGCCATTGCGCGAGCTCTTGTGAAAGATCCCAGGATACTGTTGCTGGATGAAGCAACTTCAGCACTGGACAGTGAAAGTGAATCAATTGTACAGGCTGCTTTGGATAAAGTGAGTTATTTATCTGCAGTTAATCAGTCCTTTTGTTATTGTTCCAACTGTACATGTTATCAGTTGGTAGATTTTTCAGTTCCTAGTAGTTTGTTGTGATACATGTACATGTAATTTGTGTATTCAGTCAGTGATAACAATGTTGTGCCACTTTCAAGTGTAACTATTGGTTTACATTGAATGCCATTTAAAAAGAGGCTTTTAATTAGTATCTAGCTCTCTGCACGCATTGCAGGCCTATGATGATAGAGCCTAAGTAACTAGCTCTCTGCACGCATTGCAGGCCTATGATGATAGAGATTGTTAAGAGTATCATTTTTAATTCTTTTTTTTAGGCTCGCCAGGGTCGCACCACCATTGTGATTGCTCATCGTTTGTCGACAGTCCAGAATGCTGATGTTATTGCAGCTGTGCAGGATGGTGTGGTGGTTGAGAAAGGAACTCACGATGAACTTATGCAGACTGATGGCGTCTATCACCAGCTGGTTACACTACAGGTACAGTTAGTTAATCTACAACAAATTTTTTTATCTCAGAATTATACCATCTTTGTTATAATAACCATAGTAATTTTGTTGATAATCAAAACACAGCTTCTATTTTGATTAAGCTATAATTTTGTAAAGGAGGGTGTTACATTTAGGTAGAGGATTTGCCTTGTTGGTTCTTGAAGAGTAGCAGCAGGCCATTTGTGTTTGCGTTGTTCTTGGTTGCTCATGTTTCTTGCTCTCTTACTTGCTTTCATGTTTGCTTGTTTGTTTGCTCATCTGCTACTTTGCTTACATACTACATCTATACTTTTTGTTTGAAGTACATGTACTCACTCACTTTTTCGGATTATTGTTTCCCTTTCTCATGAATTCTGTAGCAGATCAGAAAAAATACTATACTTAAAGATTTCTTTTCTACTTTAGACAGTATATTAATCTGTTGTTAATATTTTTGTGTAGACTTTTGAAGAGGAAGAAGATTTGGAGATTGATGATGACAATGATGAGACAGAGGACGTTGAGGAGAAAGGTAGCACGACTCTATGTCATCCTGCTCTAGTGCAATGCCAGCTTAATAGGTTTGACTCTAAAGGTTTACCATTGATTTAAGATACCCTTAAGCTATAGAAAACGCCTTGAGTTTGTAATGCAACCTTTGAATAGAAAGCAGAGGTAAAATCAGTTCACAATGATTTTATAAACTTGTCTACAGTCAGTGCTCAACTTATGTCCTTCTTTTTTTGGTTTTCAGAGTCCGCAGCAGCAGTGAACTTTATGCGAAGTATGTCACACATGTCAAGTGACAGTGAACATGAAGGTACAGAGTTTGAAAGGAAGCTGTCCACCAGAGCATCTCGCAGATTATCAGCCAAAAGAAGGGGGAGTTCCTTTACAGAAAGGCCCAAATCTGGCAAATCTGGCAAGACTGCTGAGGTACATGAATGTGGTGTTAACTGACTAACTGAACAAATGAGTGACTGCTGATTGATTAATTGGTTGATTGATTGATTAATTAATTAATTAATTAATTAATTGTTTGATTGGTTGACCAGTCAACCTCTTGAGTATTTTGTTGATTTGGGCAACAAAATTTCACCTCGTGCTAATGGTTAGATTTGCCTGTAAAGTGGATAGAGTTTTGAGATATGAGTCAAGCATTTGGAGGGTATCCACGGCAACACCAGGCAACACAGCACTGAATAAGCCAGTGGAAGAACTGATAGTTTGTAGTAGTAATTGGACCGATAGAAATAGAAAAATAGAAATCTCAATCTCATAATCTAATTGTGTAATAGAAAGGGGAGCAACCTAAATCACATTTTTTAGCTTCATTACTGAGATTATCAATATGAAATAATGTTCTACCATATTTGAAGGGAAATGTTCTGCAGAGTCGTTGGTATGGCAAATCATGGTCTGTTAACTTGCTGTTTCCCTTAGGACAAGAAAGACAAGGACGACAAGGAGCAGATTGTAGAGGAAGAAGTTCAACCTGCCTCTGTGTTCCGCATCATAAAGATGAACCTGTCTGAATGGCCGTACTTGACCATCGGAAGTATTGCTGGTGCCATAAATGGACTATTTCCGTTTGCTTTTGCCTTGGTTCTGTCAGAAATTCTTGCAGTAAGTAACAAAATTAAGTTCACTTTCATTAGGAAGGCAACCAGTCTTGGTGTGATATTTTGGTTAAGAAGAGCTTAGTTTTTATTAAGCTATTATTAGGTAGATCTACATGTGTAAAATTCTGGTCATGTATTGTACATTGGTTGTATACATGCAGTTGTTTTGCACAAGCTGGCTTTATGATGTACCACGGTATTTTTTGGCGTTGGACTTTGCATAGAACAGTCCAATTTTTCTATTTTTGATTAAGAGTTGTCTGTTTCTCGTCCAGTTAAATTTAATATGCATAGTCACAACTCGGAAGCACTCCTAAAACAGTCTTGTTACTGTGTGCTGTTTTTTTACAGTTTCAATAGATTAATGTACCTCAATTAACAGAATTCCTTCTCCACTTTCTGTTTTTTAGGTGTTCGCTGGGACTGATAAAGATGAGATGAAAAAGGAATCTGAATTCTGGTCAATTATGTTTCTTGTTATCGGTGTTGTGAGTTTTGTGGCAAATATTATCCAGGTAAATTTAGGATTCATTTGTTTAAGTATAATATTTTTGATTAAAAAAAGTGTGAGGTGATGCTTCACAACGTACCTTCTCCTGTTTGTGAGACACTCACTTTGTAGTTAGAACTACAAAGTGAACAAAATCGTATTATATAGCGTGTTTTTCCATAACGTCACGGCAGCCATAGTGGTGTCCCAAAACAATAAGACGGCGGTCATGTTGGTGTCCAAAAGCAGTCCTTTGTGAGTTGAACTCTTTTCCGTTGTAAACACTTCCTTTAGTTCCATAAATTTGCATGAATGCTGGCCACTGCTGAGTGAAAATGCCCTATTGACCGCGGTCTAGATTTTCCTATATAGACCGGTTACATTTTGCGGTGAAAAAGGTGCAAACTAGAATACAAAAAAATATTGAATGACGTTTTTCTTCTAAAATTATTAGTTCCAGGAAATATTCACATTTATGGAAGTGCTAACAAACCTGATGAGAATAAAAAAGTATGGAGGACGAACAGACTGTGACAGATTGCTGTTTGCAGGCAAAATGTCAGCTTGTAAAAAGTAGTTTCATTGAACGAATTAAATTTTCCTTGTTTGCCATATAATAAGCATCTTATTATTTAACCGAGCTTGGCATGTACAGACCGAAGTAGTATGTACATACCGAACGCAGTGAGGCTGTACTAACGACCTCGGTCAAGATTCACCCATACAGACCTCCTGCTCGGTTAATAATAGCTAAGTATCAGCACGCAAGTTTGTTAGCGATACCAGGCCCTAAAACCGAGCCCCCTGATTTGCTATGATAAATAATTTGCATTTTTTTTTTCAGAGTTCAGCATTTGCCAAGTCTGGTGAACTTTTGACCTTGCGGCTGAGGAAAGTTGCATTTCATAGTATCTTAAGACAGGTCAGTAGTGAAGGAAACTGGCGATAAAACTTGAAATGATTTTTGTGAGACGGCAGGTCTCATGATGAAAGAAGCGAAAAGAAGATTTGAAGGACGATTTGATAATTATATAAAATTGGGTTATTGAATGATCAATTACTGCAGCAATCATCGACAGTTGCAGTATACTTGTTTTATCACTTGTTTCGTGTTTTCAAATCTTCTCATGTACTGTATTAAACTGAGAGAAAAGACACAAGTTAAGAAAAACTTATCAACCTTGTCATTGTTTCACAGGATATGGGATACTTTGATGATCCACTTCACAGCACTGGAGCACTGACTACAGCACTTGGAACACACGCCTCAGCTGTGCAAGGGGTAACTACACATGATTACACTGTTATAATGTTAAATTTATTTTCACTGTTTACAGTAAATATTTGATTGCACCTTTGACCCTGCTCTGTAGAGCATAGAGCTCCATTAAGTTGCACACTTTTTTTCTCAGGCTGCAGGCACTCGTCTTGGCACAATTGCAATGTCTTTGAGTACAGTCATTGCTTGCACCGTGTATGCCTTCATTAATGGCTGGAAACTGTCGCTCGTGGTTCTTGCTTTCATCCCATTGCTAGTAATTGCCAGTACAATTCAGATGAGAGTGTTCGCAGGAGGCAAGGTTTCTGCTCATGGTGAAGATGAGCTTGTCCAGGCGGGCAAGGTGAGATTTAGTTACATTTTCTTCTAGTTAATAGTATTTCCCTTTCAAACAACATGCAAGAAAATGCGTCTCTCCTTGAACAAGATTCCATACACATCACTCTATTTAACAATTTTGGCGCAATATTCCGTCGTTAACTCCTAGTTTCCAAGACCTATCGGCCATCCAGATAGCTCAAGCAACCTTTAATATAATGTCTCAAACAGCGACTGTCAAAACAACATGAAAATGATTAAGGAGTAAAGCTTACAGCATTATCGAGATGTTACGTTCAAAGGTGTCTGCGAGTAAAGTCTGAACGATTTCAAGAATATAAGATGTCTTTAAACCGTAAAAGAAATGACTCGAAAAATTCCTTAGGCAATCATTGAGGCAATCGTTTATTATTCAGACGCGAAATTCCCAGAAAGAGCTGAAATTTGGTCGAAAGCAGAAGCCACAATTATAGAAAATGTTTTAATTTATTGTACTATTATATATTATATGATTTTGTCTCAACAGATTGCAGTTGAAACAATAGAGAATATCCGAACTGTGGCATCCCTGGGAAGAGAAAACACTTTCTATAACGCCTACTCCCAGGCTATAAAGAAACCATATAAGTAAGAAACTCTGTTGGTTGTACAATAATGTACACTGTATCAAAAGTTGTTACTAAGTTTACTCTGAGATCTAGGTTCGTAACTTACCTTTCACTAGAATCTCATCACATTCTCTGGAGTAATATGTTTCTTCAATTTAAGTTCTCACCTTAACAAATAGATTCCATGTTACCGTGCGCCTCGGTTCAGTAGTAGACCACAGATGACGTCAAAATGTGGTAAGAAAGTGGCACACAAGTTGGTAGCCGAGTGTGTCACTGATGTTCATACCAAATTTTGCAGCAGCTGTTACAGCATGTTACTGGGGGAAAGCTTGGGTTTATAAGGCACCACTGGCGACCGTAACGTAGCATGTTATCCCTAGCAAACGCTTCAAAACATATCATGTTCTTGGCAAACAGAATGAATGCCATCCTATAATCTCAATTTGTCTTTTTGTACATAATTAATGAAAAGGCAACATTTTTAATCTACTCGTTAATGGGTAGTTATTTGAAATAACAATTCCACTACAAACCCCTCTATACCGCAGTGGGTAGGCACGTTGTGCGTTTGTGTTTATTATCACAGCTTGCTAATTTCTAATTTCATTGTGATTAACAGAAAAGCCTTGACACAGGCTCACTTGCAGGGAGCTTCATTTGGTTTATCTGAGGCATTCATGTTCTTCGCCAACGCTGCAGCCTTTAGATATGGAGGATATCTTGTGGAGGAGGGAGAAATGACCATGGAGGAAGTTTTTAAGTAAGAATCTTTTACCTTCTGCTAGAACAATGAAATGTACGTAAGTCAAACGTAAAACATAAAACATGTTCCTGATCATGACCGCAAACCCGGTTTCGCGATATTTGGTGTACTCGAGTTGACAAAATTCGGTGTCAGATGTGGGTTGGAGTGCTCTACCAGCCGTGAACAAAATCCACAATTGATAGAAGTCAGCACGAGGCTGTGTTCTGCCTTGTTATAACTGATTCTAAAGATCTTACACTTCACTGAACTATGCCGTCTTCTAAATCACCACAGATCTGCAGGGCGCATATTTAATTGTATTTCTACAACGCTTGTGTGAGCCAAATTTACCTCCGTGGAATATCTTGGCATTTCAGTTTGCTTTGTGGTGCGATGCAGTCAAAGTAGTGACGTGATGTTTTACTTCTGGCTTTGCAAGCAACTCTAAGCGTTGCAGACGTGAGTAATAACAAGAGTTGAGTTGGTTTGTTTGTTTGTTTTTTGTTAGGGTTGTGCTGTCTATTATGATGGGAGGGTTTGTCCTTGGTCAAGTCAGCGCTCTCTCGCCAGACTACGAGAAGGCCAAGATCGCTGCTGCTCGTCTCTTTAAAATCTTTGACCGTAAATCTGCAATTGACAGTTCCTCTGAAGATGGTTTACGACCGGTGAGAATATTCTCAATCTGTGTTGGTTATACTGATTTTTATGAAGCTACTGCTGAAGAAAATGAATTGCTGCCTTATTACCACCACTCCGTCAGTTCAACTGTGTTCTTATTGCAGACAGTGTGCTTTGGACCCCACCAAAAGCTCGGTTATCTGCTTTAAAATGGATTAGTACTCGTATCATAATTTTCCCGTACACACTGTCACTAATACCATGTTTCATGGGTCATCGGTGGGTACATAAACCCGGGTTTTACAGTACTTGAAAGGGCATTCTCCATGCTTTAAACCCGATAAGAATTTGTGGATAAACCCCCAGTGTGTGTGATGACTCAAATGAAAGTTATTGAGCTCCGAGTACTTTTATGTGGATTGTTTTTATGCTGTACATATAATTTTGTGGAGAAATCCTAGTGTAGTTCGTATGGTGTGATCGTCCGGGTGAGTGTAGTTCTGAAAAGAACTGTTGCAATGTTGGTGACTGACGTTTCGACAACCTGAGCGGAAGTCATCTTCAGAGTCAAGTGAATAGTGTTTGTCAGTCGGTGATGTTACAAGTCTGGTCCGTTGAAAGTGATTGGTCAGTTTAGCCATGATGGTGTTGGCTGAAAGGCTCGTGTGTAAGTTTCTAGTAAGTTTCGATTCGAGTTATTTTCATCGGACCAGACTTATAACATATTATAACTACCCTCACCAGGACGATCACGCAAGACAATCTACTGATACTCCTGGGTTCAAACCATTTACTATGAAACGCTAGTGTGTGAACGTGCAACTCTAGTACTATGTATTATTCTAGTTAGTTCTTGGAGTTAGGATTTATTCCAAAAGAGCTTGTGGAGGCAATTTCTCCATTCCTGTGGCAAACAACTCGCTTTTCTTATTCACCATGTACAGTAATCATTCGCCAAGTCCCAAAGATATATGCCTTGTCGACCATTCATCAGCATGGAAGCCGTTACGTACGAACCCATTAGTATCTATGCACAACTTTTGTAGACTTCAAAATTAAATCTTTATTTGCCGTTTGGTTTGTGTAGGCTTCTGTGACAGGAACAGTGCAGTTACGCAGTGTTCGTTTCCGCTATCCAACACGCCCAAACGTCAAGGTTTTACGTGGAGTCACTCTCACTGTCCAGAAAGGACAGAAACTTGCTCTTGTTGGCTCAAGCGGCTGCGGTAAAAGTACAGTGGTTTCTCTCTTGGAGAGATTTTATGATGCCGAGGACGGAGAAGTGGTAAGTAGACTAAGTAGATACCAGGAGAATGAATATTCTTGTCGAAGAACGATCCGAACAGTACAGTAATCGTTGAGTTGAAATCTAGTTTGTTAATAAAACCAAATGTATTGTTTGTTGTTTACTTTCCTTTTGATCAGGAAATCTCATTTTACTACTCGGACTTGTTTACAGGAATACAATTGATGTACTAGCAAATTCTCAGATCTGACATTGAAAAATGTTGGGCCTTTAGTTAGGAGAATAAAGAATTAGTCTTAGCTTGCGGACCGTAACGATAGCTGGTTCTTCTTCTTATAGGGTCCGGATTTCTAAAGCGTTAGTCTCAGCTTNGAAACTTGGATATCGGTGGCGTCATTGGTTCAAATTGCATCATTAATACTGACACCGGAAATTTCGTCATTGCCAGTTCCATTCTTTAGCTATTTTAAACTGTGTGCTGTCGACATGCAAACAAACTACCAATTCCCAAAGTTGATGCTTACTTTTAAACTTTCCTTGCGTATCTAGTTGCCCTTTTAGTTTGTTGTGCATAGCAGACTTATGGCTATCGTTGCGCCGCGTGACCATATGACGAGGCTGGCGTGACAGTTGTGCACGTCGACATGTTGAGCATTGTGATCGTCGTGATTATATTTAGAACACGACGTATTGTGGTTAAAAAAACATCAACCCACGCTACAAGTATTAAGAAAAAGCTAACCTCAGCTAAAAGCGTTGGTAATTCAAGCGAGACTCACATCGAGGACGTCTATGTATGCTTCGCTTGGTACATTGGAGACTGTTCATAACACTCGGGTAGCGAAATCAACGCGAATTGATTTTACTGTTCTATATTTTTGTCATGGATGGAACGTCGGGGTCGGACCCGGCGGAAAATCAGCCAAGAAATAAATCCCCTGTTAAACCTGACGATGGGAAAAATCTCAGCGATATTAAGGTGAAGGTCCTTCCCGATCAGACGAAGGATGCACTGGACATGAGCGAAAAGCAAAATGTGGCAGCTGCAGGAGACGATCACAATACAGCTGAAGACAACGACGAAAGGTAACCTATATCAGGGGTGGCGAATGGTCCTTCAAAAACTCTGGGTCTCGTAAAATTTTAGTCGAATTTCACGGGTCTCGCACGGTCTCGTTTTTTAGCGGTTATGTGCGTCTCACAGTCTCGATTTTTCGCAAGGCTAAGGGTCTCGAAGTCCTAATTCGTTTTATACATTACGTTTTGTCTTTATATGATATGGAATTTCAGTGAAGCAACTTACAAATTTTCTAACAAAAAGTTAATCCTAACTTCTCCTAATCTTCCAAACCTTCTGTCTTAATTCCACAAAAAGGTACAAAACCCTCCGCAACGTCCGATTTGGCGCCAGAAAAACAGTTGTATTTCTCTAGGATATCATAACGTAGTGTGTTATGATCGAATTTCCAGTTCCAGTCAGTTCCAAGAAGCTGGCTTAAGGCTGTACAAGCTCATTCTAGCTCTCAACTAAATCTGGGGCTCGAATTTTAAGAGTCTGAAAGTCTCGCGCTCGCACTCAAAACACTTTGAAGTCTCGGTCTCTCAATCTAAAAAGTCAAAATGTCTCGGGCTCGCAAAGAGAAACGCTCGTCTCGCCGTCTCGCAAAGTCTCGCATTTACATTCGCCTTATATCTTTCTTTCTCTCTCAGTAACGTTTTTCGCACGAACGAAAACAGCAGGTCAAAGACCGGATTGTTTTTGTTTTGTTTTGTTTTTTAAATCGCTTATTTTCAATTGTAACAAGAAACTGTCTGAATGCTGAAACACTTTTATACTCATACTCTAGCACACCCAAATCCTGAACGCCGTGTGACTGATAACTCAGTGGTGCGTGACCACGTGGTGAAGTTAAATATTTAACCATAGCAAGATCTTAAATTTGCAAGTACAAATTGTTCTTTACTACATGTAATCTCGCTTAAATCGGAAGTGTCACTGTTGAGGATCGCTGCCGATATTCGCGTGCAAATTAATGAAGCGTAGAGAAATACCCTGGAACCGAGAGAGAAAACCTTTTTGCTGCTGGCTGAGATCTGTTACATTTACTGATTGCTAAGAAAGGAGCTAAAATTTTTAACTGATAACTGAAAGTCACTTTAAGTGATCATTGAGATTCCAGCACCCCATGTCGGCCTTCACCCTCTTCTGCAACAGATGACAGAGGATTACTGATAATTGTGTGTGCTGCACATTCCGTGGCGCATGATTTGACCTTCTGCTATTGAAAACTAAGTGTGTGTACAAAGCTGTGCACGTGCATTGGATATCTTGTTCATAATTGCCAGACACTCATTTCAAGGGCTTCAAACCTGATCACTCGTCGAAGCACTTCGTTTTTGGGCCCTTTCCAACCGTATTTCAACTAGGACGTGTAATCTCGAAATGGCGAAATGGCGAAATGACGAGAAGGCACTACAGGAAAGAATCAATGTGCAATACAGGTGTCAGTGTCAGTGTCAATGATATTTAAGCTAACAAGAGCGCTAGCACTATTTAGGCTAACTGGAGCGTTATTTAGACCGACCGTAGTGCCATATCATCATTTCGTGTTTTAAACACGCCCCTTGAACTATCACAACGTACAGATAAGTGCGTGCATTTTGCCTGTTTTCAAATAGTGTTTATTTCAACTGATCATGATGTTCAAGTTAGTAACATTTCCCCCATACAAGCAGTTGCGTGTTGTATCAATCGATTTCGTTAACCAATCCCTTATGCTCCCGATGTGACCTTTTTTCATCAAAAATACTGATTTTGCAAGGCTGTTCTTTGACGTTTTGCCAGTGTCAGTAGGGACTTCAAGATACGCAACGGCGAGGTGCTACTACGGCTATTTTGGCCGTGAGGGACTAGGCTAACAACGGTGTTTTACCCGCCAAACTGAACAGTAATAAACAATTATAGCTCAGATTAGAACATACGAAGTTTTCTTATCTACGGCTGTTCGGTCAAATACTAATATGACTGAATTGATCATCTCGCGGTAGGTGTTAAATCCTTCAAAGTTTCTGTACAAATGACAAAGAAACAATGATCTTAGAAACTGATTTTTATGATTGAGAACTTTATCTTCAAACTAGGCTGTTCAAACAGTGCAAAAAGCGTTAAAATGAGAAGTAAATAGCAGGCTTATTCTCACGTAGTGAAGAGTACGTGAAACCAGCTACTTCCCCGTAGTGTCACTAGCTACTGGAAAGATGTTCGTTTCAGCAGAGAGCTTGATTTGAAGATAGCGCATTTTAAAGCGACCTTTTTGGCCGCAATATTGGTGTACCAAATTGGTACATCAAAATGGCTGACCCATACTGAGCTCTGTATTTTTGTTTTGGTTGCTGTGAGCACTGAAAACTTGATTTGGACAGTTTATTTCTTTCCTACTGCCCTTAAATCTCTGAGTTGGCTGGTTTTTTGAATGTTGTTTTTAATACACGCTGAATGACTTTGATATCTCGGCAAAAAAGATCTACATGTATTGCGTTGTTCTTTCATTCTGTTCAGTGGTGATAAAGATGAGAAGGAAGGCAAGAAAAAGGAAGAAGAGAAGCCTCCGGCTGTCCCTTTACTGAAACTGGTAAGATGTTCCTAGATGTTTTAAAACCTTAATAAAAGTTATGGACATCCAGACCCTCTTTACGACGTAAATAACTGCCAAACAATAGGGCGAGCAAAAGGGGATAAAGTGCAAGTTCGTTGAGGCCTCATTCCCAAGGAAATCCCTCTCAAGTTATTTTTAGACATGGTACTCGGCTCTCGCCGGGGATAATATTACCACGCGCGTTGTCAGTGGATGTTTTCATGGCGGATCAATGAGAACAAGTGTAAAGCCACTTGAGTTGTCCACGTAAACACATATGCGTCACAGGATTGGCTATTCTAGACTTCTCTGGGATTTCCGAAACCGTAGTTCTTCATCATCATCTTCGCTCGTCGCATTTTGCTAAATGTTTTCCGAGCAAACAAATTGCTTTGTAACCGTTCTTATATGAATTTCCTCTAATTATCGATATGTGTAAACGGTTTTGAATCCGAATACCCTTATGCTTCCGGAAGAATATTCTTTAGTTTAAACGTAGTTCAACATGTCCACAACGAGTACATACATGTAGATACGTTTGTTTTTGTTAAAACAGTTGATGGTTTCTTTATAATAGGTTATTGATCGCTAAAACTATTCAGTTTGTATTTTGTGTGCAGCCAATCAGATACCTATGTCCACTGATGAGATTCGTTTTTCTCAGTTTCGTTTCAGTGATAAGTTTGATGTTCTACTCATAGTCCTGGCAACTCTATCATCAATTTGTCACGGCGCAGCTTTTCCCCTCCAGTTTATCATCTTTGGTGGACTTATGAATAGCTTCATCGATTTTGCTAAATTTCAAACAGCTAATGTTACGCAGCCGTTTGACCTTGAAGGAGAGATGACAAAGTTTGCATTGTACTATGTTTATATGGCTTGTGGAACCTTGATCGTCGCCTATGGGCAAATGGGACTATGGTCACTGACTGCTACACGCCAAGTGAGACAAATGCGTTTGGCTTTCTTTAAATCCGTCTTGAAACAGGACATTGGTTGGTTTGACACAACTGATCCAGGAGAGCTCAACAGTCGACTCTCTGAGTAAGTGTTGTTGTTGCTTACTCAGTTTTGATTGGGGATAACCCTCAGGCTGGTATGGATTCCCAAACCAACCAGTCGAAAAAAGCAATAACTCTAGATGGTTAAGGCCACAGTAAGTGGTACTCAGAATAAGGGAAGTGCACTTCCTTGTTTGGATCGTTGTTGTTGTTGTTGTTATTGTTTTTTTTTCTTGTTCGTTTTTTACTGATGTTGATGACCATGTTGCTATTGTTGTCCATTTGCTTGTTGTTGTTGTTATTTAGGTTTTTCTTCAGTTTTGTTCTTCATCGTTCTTCTTCTTCTGGAACGATTATATAAGCGTTGCATTTGCGTTCACAATTTTTTTTTTTATTCAGAGACCTGAACAAAGTAGATGAGGGTATTGGTCACAAAATTGGCATGTTGCTTCAAGCCATCACAACAGTTCTGGTCGGTTTTATTATGGGATTTGTATATGGATGGAAGCTCACCCTCGTAATGATTGCTGTAAGTCCCTTAGTGGTTATTGCAGGTGGAATTATTGGAAAGGTAACTTCCTAACTGGCATCCTAATTTATGTATCATCTAATATCATCTAATAGAAAATTCATACATGTACTTCCATTTCCAGTATAGACGTTTGAACCGCCATGAACGTCTTTAAATCAGTATTATTAGTATTTGTAATGGTAATAGGACTCATTTGAGAAGATATATTACACAAAGGGTCCATAAATAAAGCAGTGAGACCACGTTTTCGATTGACTTTGCATTGATAGTCGAGGAGGATCTTGTTGGCTATCGGTCAATACATTACAGATTGCCGGTCGACGATGGTACAAATGATCCGCAGTTTTTCAATCGGCCACTGCTAGTTTCTGCTAAAACGTGTTCAGGAATATAATCCGTTGAAATCGTTGGAAACTCCATTAATGAAATCTCCTTATCAATTTCTCTCATCATTTGACCTATTAGGGGGCAACGTGGCCAATGGCCAATTTCCTCTATGAGACATGTGTACAGAGAATCATGGTAGTTGTTTTCATCATCTTCGATTGGATATTTGTTTTGATAAGTACAAATACCATGATTCCCTGTAGGGGTGTCTCGTAGATGGAATTGGTCACCGACTAGGGTACCGCACTTCAAATCCAGAGATCGCGGGTCCAGTTGCCGCTCTGACCACCAGCTTGAGTTGTTTCGCGGTAGACCCGAGTTCAACTCCTCAACCACGGTCGTGTAAATCTAGTCGGCCCGCCTCCTGTAAGTTGGGATTTTAAACCTTGTAATGTTCAAGTCTAAAATATAATATTTGTCTGTAATATTTGACCGCTCGGCCCCATAAGCACTTGTGTTAAATCGCTTGCCTAGGGTAAACGGTTGTTTTTTGTTCCTTTTTCTTTCTTATTTTATTGAAATATCGCAGATAATGGCTACAATGACAACCAGAGGTCTTAATGCTTATGCCAAAGCTGGGAGCATAGCAGAAGAAGTTCTATCGTCAATAAGAACTGTTGCTGCCTTTGGGGGAGAGAAGAAAGAAATTGCGAGGTGAGTCGTCAATCGTGTGTTTAGTTAGTTATGGCCTTGATTTGTATTCTTCTAATCATTTGTTCTCAACTTTTGTTGCGAGCTAGCAGATACTGAACGCGATGTCTGCGGGAAACTGATCATTTTAAGTTTGTTTTAAGCAGCTGATTTTTTTTTCAGCTGAGTTTCTTTACTGGATGGCCATTTTCACACTAGAATACGGACAATCGTCTCACGATTTGTTCGTCAAATGTGAATTTTAGACTGGCAACTCACCATGTTTCGTTGCAGTGGGTCTGGCAATAACAGGCTTGTTTGTCTTGCTTTTCCACCTGCCATTTTGAGTTTTCCAGCAATCCATTTGCTAGTTCCATTCCCCTTAGAGAGTACAGCGATCCAGATACAGCCATCGCTCGTCTGGTGTGAATTTAAGTCTGACTTTCGACGACTTGTCTGTCTAGACGAACAAATGGACCTCGAAAAATCGAAAAATCGACGTACAAATTAAGGCGAGTTTTGCGACGAAAATTATGTTCGTACCGTTCTCAGACTAATACGACTTCTCCGTCTGAGACGATTTTTCCGTCTCTAGAGTGAAAATGGCCAATATGTTGTGGAATATTACACTACGTCCTTTGACGCCCGAATTTTACTACTGATATAACCAAACTTTTAGGAAGTCAGTGCTACATTTCTATTTATTGTTAAAGAATCTGATCATCGCAAAGATTACGATTGGATGGTCAACTAAGCAGAATAATACAAATGTCATATTAGAACCTTAGTGATAATATAAAATAACTTATGTACAGCGCGTTAACGGGCCTCTGAGGTTTATCTTGAATTTGTCAGCTAATTTATATGTAAGTGTATTTTGTATGATAATTTCTATGTTAAATTGAACCCCCAGATATTCATCTCACCTCGGAGAAGCTCGAGACTTTGGCATCAAGAAAGGCTACATGTCAGGACTGGGTTTTGGTTTTTTCCAAATTATCACCTTTGGAAGCTATTCTTTGGCGTTCTGGTACGTATAAGGACACTTGGCGAATAAAACAGAATTTTAATTATAATCAAAACGTTCAACTGTTAAGAAAAGGGGGTTGTTTTAAAGTTTTTTACTTCTATATACCTAAAAACAAACACTTTGCACGGTATTGGATGAAACAAGGTGTCAAGTAAATGTGATGAACTTCACAAGGTATGGAAAGCCGGACATCTGGGGTAGTGGCTGTAAAAACTGTATCTCGTGCAAAATGTATGTGTCAATATATGTAGGGTTAATCTTCTCAATACGTGGATGACGGGCGGCTGGAGCAGGATCACAATCTGAGATTCACTGGGATATAATCGAATAATTTTAAACGTACCAAATGGACGTAATAGGCAATTCTGTTTACCAATATTTGCAGGTATGGTTCAAAGTTGATCATTGACGAGGAAATGACTGCAGGACAGCTGCTCATTGTGAGAAACTACATCTACCCTCTTTTGTTTGCTAAAGAATAAATTTGTTTTTTCCAGTGTCACAGAACTATTAACAACTACTTTATTTGCATTAATAAAAAAAAAAAAAAATTATAATTACAAATTGCAAAGAGGGTGTCAACGGGAAAGGACTAAATTTTCATAATAAGTTGACCTCCAAACCTAAGAATAAGCTATAAATAAAGATATAAAGATATATACGATACAATCAAACTGTACGTAGAATTTAAGAGTAAATAATCTAATCTACCCAATATACTATTTATGATTACTTATTAACTAAGGCACCATGTTTATGCTGGTTTATTAAGGCATCCATCTATGCATCGCACTTCTAGATTTTTGCCTAACACACACACTGTAGAACGCCAATTATCCTCTTGCAGACATCCGTTTCTTTAGATACAAAAATCAAAATTTCGTATCTTTTAGTTATATTATTGATGAAGCCTAGCTCATACTAGCGACATAACGATACAAGAAGGATGTTATGCCATTATATTTGCAGTGTGATCATCCTGACATAAGACTGATCTTTTCCTTAAATAATATCGTCATGCCATCATGTCGTTTAAGTCGTTATGTCGCTAGTGTAAACCAGACCTTATTTTCACATCTTTATTTTACAAATGTTACGAAAGGTGAACGTTAGATTCCGTTCGAGGGGATATAGCAAAAACAAGTACAAAAAACAGATGGAATTGTAAAGACTACGTACTAAACATAGACAACTTCTTTGCTGCCAATTGGAAACGTGTTTCGTTACGAAACTTCGTAAGCGTCCACATTTCATGCTATTTCTAATTCACGGCTTACCAGATGGAGCGCGGTCTAGGTCGACAAAAAATTAAGCAACTATGGGTGCGTTCCTTTGGGGTGATCTGGATCCGGATCAGTGATCCAAGACCACTCAGATCATCATTGGTACATCAAAGGAACCGATGAACTCGTTCTGGTCACGGATTCATCGGTTCCTTTGATGCACCATAATCCAGACCGATCTTGGACCACTGAATCTGATCCAGATCACCCTAAAGGGACGCACCCTATGTTTTCGCGATGCTTCGATTTCATCTTGAAAAAAGTCAGCTTAATATCTTATAATTCCTTTCCACAAAAATTTTCTTCGAAATGCAGGGAGAGCAATAACAGAAAAACAGGAAATTCTTGCCAAACACACGAACAAACCAGCAAGCCAATTAAATCGGCAAATACCGTAAGATATGTATTTGAACGAAAGTATATATATTTGACTTGTGCATGACTTGTATCATGAAGCTCAACAGTCCGTTGGAAGTTGCTTATATTGACAACTACATTGCCACGTGAGAGGGAATTAAGAATAAAACTTAGGGATAATGACTTTGAATAACGTTTCGATGAGTCGTTCATTTTACGAATTTGAGAATGATGGACGACTCATCGAAACGTCATTCAAAGTTATTTTCCTAATTTTTATTCTTAAGAGGCAATTATATAATTTTTTGGAAACACACTGTCGCCCCTTAATTTTCAGGCTCGTAGACACATTTCTGCTGACTTCATAAAAGAATGAATTAAATTTGCTTCTCCGGCAAAACACGTTTTCACTCAGCTGCACTCACTCGCTTGAAAATTGAAATTCTGTCATTTTTATTGCCTTGTATTTAACAAGTGGCTCGTTATTTTCTGCAGGTCTTTTTTTCGGTACTGTTTGGTGCCATGCAGTTGGGTCAAGCTGGTCCCAGCATGGAAGCCATAGCAACAGCAAAAGGGGCAGCCTATCAAGTGTTTCTTATAATTGACCGGGTAACAAGAACTGTGATTTTTATATGTACTTTATACTGATGTAGATTTTTTAGATTTTAGATTTTTACTTTTTAAGTTTTACAGGACCCCTTTGATAACCGGACAATTTGTACTGATGGGTTCATCCTGTTTAAAAATTCGTTTTATTAGTATTATTATTATTATCATTATTATTATTATTATTATTATTATTAAAGATCTTTTAATGATGTTTTATTGTGAAAAGGACTTGAGCTACAAGTTTAAGATCATTTTCTGATACACTGTAGCTAATCTGTATGAAATACAAATTAATCAAGCAATCAATCAATCAATCAATCAATCGATCGATCGATCAATTTATTAATGTCATGCGTGGGAAGAGGTTGCCCACGGTATCCGAGCCAGGGGCTCATGCATAAAACACATGACAAAGATAACGAAAAAATAAGAGAGAGAGAGAAAAAAATAATTAAATATCAGTCAAACGGATAAAATTATAAATTAAGTGTAATAGTTAAATATCAAATATGAAATCGTTGAGGTTACTTTAGGGGCCGTTGCCGTTGTAGAGAGGTTAAAACAAGAGTGAATGTATGGACCTTACCCCGGAATAAAACAGATGGCCGTTTAGCCGGAAGTAGCCGTTGTTGAGAGGTGGCCGTTAGTAGAGGTTCGACTGAATGTATAAGTTCTGTCGTCGGCGATGAATGTAAATTTCATTTCTGCACTATGGACGGTCCGTTAACTCGTTACCAAAATATGAGTGCTGGGAACTTGTGGTGACTTTTCAGGTTTTACAGAGATAGTCTTCCCTGTGACCGAAATCATAGACCGGCCGTTGAAGAACTCAAACACTTACTGGAACCCAAGCGTTCAAAACTAACACACCAAACATACATCAGTATATTTATTGCTCTCTTGTGTTGAGGAGGTGGCCCTCACGGTATGTTGTGTCAATTTGTTCCTGCTTATATTAGGTCTCTCCAATTGACTCCAGTTCTACGGAAGGAATAGAAATTGATCAAAGTTCTTTCAAAGGAAAAATAAACTTCAGCACCATTGAATTCTGTTATCCATCAAGACCAGACATAAAGGTAAATGCATAGAAGTCTTTTAATGTTCTTATCTCATTGGAATATAATGAATCTATTTTGTCTTTATACTGGAGGACTTATTTTCTTATGGAGGACTTATTTTCTTCTGAAAACAAGTAAAATTTCTATATGCTCCTTTTTTCCAATTTTATGTACACATCTCATTCTCTTGATAGCTTTTTTGCGCTTAAGTCTCCTTAGAAACATATAACTGGAGGCTGACTAGAAAACCCTTGGTTACTTCAGTCTCCAGACTCATATAGTACACTTTTTTCTTTGTCTTTACATTTCACTGATATAAAAAAAAAAACTGGAAATGTACGAGTAAAGAAAGTTGTTGTTGTTGTTGTCGTTGTTATGTTATCTTCATTCCGCTCAAATGCTTTAGAGATCTGTTTACTTACTTATTTACGATCTGTCAATGTACAACTAAATCAGGGGGGAAAGGTATCTACAGTAAGTTTTGTTGACGTTTTTCTTAGATTTTGAACGGTTTGAACCTGACTGTTGAGAGTGGCTTAACTGTTGCCTTGGTGGGTGAGAGTGGCTGTGGGAAGAGTACAGTTGTCAAGCTTCTACAGCGATTTTATGATCCTAATAATGGCCAGGTAAGACTTGAAAATGAGAATTTGGGGCAATTGTCTCTGATTTAGGTCTCATGCTACAATTGAATTATGGTAGATTAGGATTGAGTGGTGTCCAATTTGGTCGTCTGCTCTCATCCTGGCAAATCTCTGGAATGGGGGGGGGGGTCGACTTTAAGACACAAACAAGATTGAATCGTGTCTGACCGAAGTTTTTTTAAACATTTTCAGGAACACACTTAGTAAGTTAATTCAGGATGCTATAAATAACATTGCTCATGTGCTCTTGTCTTCGCAAAGGTAACAATTGACGGCCATGACATTCGTAGTCTGAACTTGAAGTGGTTACGTAAACACATTGGTGTTGTAAATCAGGAGCCCGTTCTTTTTGCCACTACAATAGCAGAGAACATCCGGTATGGAAAAGATGGTGTGACACAGGAGGACATTGAAAGAGCAACAAAGATGTCTAATGCTCATGATTTTATCAAGAGTCTTCCAAACGTAAGTGAAATTTGTCAATTCTTACCATTTGCCTGTGACAATAAAAGAAAGATGTTTTGACATACGAGTTTTACTTGCGACGAAGTTGGAATTACAATTAGAAGCGCAAGGCCGAGTCATTAGTGGAGTCAGATTTAAAAAATTGGGATCATCGTAATGGTCCTTTTTCTTTAATTCCGTATCTGTTTCCGGCTACGATGAAGTGAAGATAAACGTGAGAGGAAGAATATGTCAATAAAAAAAAAAAATATTCCCAGTGCAATTTATAACAAAAATTGCGAAACTGACCATACAGCCCGAATAAAAGTTCTTCTTTAAGAGGCTCCAAACTCCCTCTTGTCTGCATAGTAGCACACAGTAGATCATCGATCATTGAGCGCACAGTTCAAAATTTATCAGCATTCGGAGGCTTCTTTACCTATTAGGGCTATGAAACTCTTGTTGGTGAACGAGGAACTCAACTCAGTGGAGGACAGAAGCAGCGGATTGCCATCGCAAGAGCTCTTGTGAAAGATCCCAGGATACTGTTGCTGGATGAAGCAACTTCAGCACTGGACAGTGAAAGTGAATCAATTGTACAAGCCGCTTTGGAAAAAGTGAGTTATTTAACTGCAATTCATTAGCAATTTTGTTATTTTCCAATTTTATATCAGTGAGTGAAGTTTTGAAATTCCTTGTGGAGTTACTTTTACATGTCATTTCAAAAACAGGTTTGTTAATTCTAAAAAGTGTTGTTTTTAATCTCTCTTCTTTTAGGCTCGTCAGGGTCGCACCACCATTGTGATTGCTCATCGCTTGTCGACAGTCCAGAATGCTAATGCTATTGCAGCGGTGCAGGATGGTGTGGTTGTTGAGAAAGGAACTCACGATGAACTTATGCAGACTGATGGCGTCTATTACCGGTTGGTCACATCACAGGTACTCGACATGAATGTAGAATCAATAGTATTGAGTTTGGCGAGGAGTGCTTACTTGTGTTTCTTACTTTGAAAACAACATTTGGACGAATTGTCTTCATGTCTTCAGTATGGGCAATGTAAATGTGTACAGTCTTACAATTAGAATGAGGCAAATATGCTATAAGACAACTTGAAATCACACAAAGACAATTATAAACTTGTGTTTGGATGTTTTTATTGGTGGTCACTTTCTGTGGTCACTCTTATCTGTCATCTCGTTTACCCAAAACAAAGCCAAACTATACGTCTATTAAATTAAAGGTAATAGAATGCCCTCATTGGGACAACCAAAAGGTGGCCGCGACCGCTTGAGAGAGGTGGCCGGTGAATAAGGGTTTTCTTAAACCGACAACAAGTTCGGGACTTTGACAACTGGTCGCTTAACACTGAGGGGTAGGCCGCTTAACAGGTGGCAGATTAAAGGAGATTCGACACTAAGTAGAAAATGTGTTTCGTTTTGGCAGACATTTGAAGAGGAGAAAAAAGAGGATGGAATTGATGATGACGACGATGAAGATAATGACGAGATAGCAGACATTAAAGCAAACGGTGGGTGTCCTTGTTTTGATTCTGATTTTTATTCTTCCAATATTACGCATTTCAATAAAGCCAGAATGTGGAAAATGTCAGGAATCAAATTTATTTTTGCTAATAATGCTCGGCCGGGGAATAAGTAGATAGAAAGGCACACGCTATTCCAAAGCGATTTTCCAAACGTGAAGTAGTATAGAACGATTTACCATAAATGTTCAAAACAAACGTTTGGTCTGAGTTGAAGCTGATTGAAACTTCAAGCTTTCGGAAGCCGCTTAAAACCTTCTCATTATTTGGCCGCGCAATAATGCAGTCTAGAAGTTAACATATACGCTTACTGGAAAATTCAGAGACTTTTTGCGTGAAATATATCCATTTACCAACGGAGCCTCAATTTTGAAAAATATATATCTGTTTTTCATTTGTCTGAATCTGAGTCAGAACTAGTACACCTAGCGTTACTTTCTCCTTTAGGGACTGAGGAAAATGCCGACTTTCCTCACCCAGACAACATTAACATTTATTTATTTGTTTGGTTCTTTGTTCGTTTGTTGTTTATTTATTTGCTAGCAGTGTTTTACTTTCCCATTTTCATGGGCTAGTTTCGTTTTCAGAGTCATCAGCCACGGTGAACTTTGCGCGCAGTACGTCACACATGTCTACTGACAGCGAACGTGAAGGAAAAAGAAGGAGTACCTCAGCTCTAGACAGAACCATATCTGAGGTACAGCACAGTAAACTTATATAGTAGCTAATCGGAAGTCACTGGAAGTGGTGTTATGGCTATTCATGGTCGCTTGTGACTGGCTATGGTTGACCGTGGATGGTCATAATTGGTGGGTTCACCCGTGCTGGTCACATCTGGTTGTGACTGGTCGCGGCAGAACATGATCAGTCATTTTAGGTAGTGGCACTTTGCGGCTCATACTAGCAGATTATGACGGAATGTCGCTGGTCATGGCTGGGTGTGGTTGGTCACGACTAGTCGCAGATTGTTTCGTACATAAACAATGGTTGTCTGAATACTTGTTGTGACGAGTATAACGACGTCGGTTATTTTTCATCTATAAAGCTGGTTGTTGGGACTGTGATGAATTTTACGTTGGCAAAACAAAACAAAGACTCCATGACAGAAAAACAGAACATTTCAAGGCCCTCACTAAAAGTGACCATTCATCAGCCATTGCTGATCATGTGAAAACCACTCGTCACAACGTAAAATGGGATCATTTTAACATTTTAGCGTCCGCCAAAACTGACTTTCATTGTAAAATTAAAGAGATTCTGTTCATTCAAGAGCTAAAGCCTTCCCTTAATGTCAATGTCAGTAGTGAGAAGTTGTTGCTTTATTAGCTGCTAGAGCTACTCCTCATGATGTCTAGACTGGTTAACGTACTGCTGCATATCATTTTTCTCAGTCTAGGTTCCAAACCTCTCATTTTACGATATCTATAGTTTTCACAAAATTGTAACGGTCACTTTTGAAAATGTATGCGGACTAGCATGCGAAACGTCAAGTTCTGTGTTAAAATGCGTTGAAAAACAGTGTTTACCACCGCTGTTTGCGTTATATTCTATTTCCTTAACCAATTTAGGACAACAAAGACAAAGACGGCAAAGAGAAGATTTTAGAGGAAGAAGTGGAGCCTGCCCCAGTAATGCGGATCATTAAGATGAACCTGAGTGAATGGCCTTACTTGCTGATAGGAAGCTTTGCCTCCGTCATAAACGGACTATTTCCATTCGCATTTGCCTTGGTTCTGTCAGAAGTTCTAGCGGTAAGTGGGGCTAACTTTAAATGTTTTGCTGGGTGGCCGCATTTTGACCTTTCTTCGAGACTACAACACGCAGTCATAATATTAAAAAATTGCTACATTTGCTGTCGCCCAACCGGTGTTTGACTGAAGGTAGATTCTGTTCTTTAACAGGAAGGACACTGATGGTCTAGTCTTCAAGGAAACCTTAAACTTACTAGTAAATGGCGGCGTATTGAAAAGCCCTTGCATTTGCTTTCATTTTTGTGAAGCCCTCGAATTGCCTTACATGTGTTTATATATTTTGATACGCGCATGATATGCACGATCGATCGTTTATTTTACGTTTTGCTTTCTTGCAAGGTCTTTGCTTTGCGAGATAAAGAGCAGGTGAAAAAGGAGTCTGAATTCTGGGCTTTGATGTTCCTTGTTGTTGGCGCGACAAACTTTCTCTCTCTCTTTTTCAGCGTAAGTACCGCTCCCACTTTTTGTCAATATTAAATTCAAGAGTTGCAACATCAAAGGGATTAAAAAGAGGCAGTGTGGCCGAGTAGTCATGGCGCCGGACTTAAAATCTTGAGGTCTCGGGTTCAAGTCCCGTTCTGACCACTAGCTGGTGTTGTTCTCGGTTGTCGCGAGTTCCGGTCGTCGGTCATGCTTGTAAATAGCCAACTGGTCTGCTTCCTGCCCTTTGGGATTTGTGACCTTGTTATGTTCAGTTATATTATTTGTTTCCAGTGGCCCTTAAAAGCCCCTTTGGGTGGTGGTGGGGGTTATTAATTAAGATATTCATTTATTATTTATTTATTTGTCATGTACGTCTTTATGACGTCTTTTTGAACCAGGAATGCAAATTTACATTTAGGTGAAACGAATCAATGAGGCGAGTGAGCTATTACATAAAATGTGCAAGTTTCAATTGTGAATTGTGACTGAAACAATTGGAAAGCCACATTTTCTTCACAAGATGACACACTTTTCGAAACTTGTCATTGTATCGTTCAGCTGACGCGTTGTTTTGAGTTGTTTACTTCAACATTTTTGTATTTATCACACGAAATAAAGCGCGCTTTATGGAAACCTGTTTAAACGGACGCCCTGTATTAAGCGGATGGCAGTGTTTCCCGAGGGTGTCCGTCTCAAGCATGACTTGTTTGAGTCTTTTTTGCTCGTCTATTCATTCTCTCTGTCAAACCAGTGATATATGATCTTTAATATGTTTTTCATTGTCTTTGATTTGTTTTGGTCTTTCTTGATTTTCTCTAGACTATGTTGTTTGCCAAGTCGGGTGAACTTTTGACGTTGCGACTAAGGAAGATGGCGTTTGAAGCCATACTTAGGCAGGTCAGTAAACTATGATTCGACTCAAATGAGTTTTCAAATACACAGTGCTCATTTGGTTCGATTTATTCACAAGGTTTGTTCACAAGTTTTCCATTGTTTAACAGGACATTGCATACTTTGATGATCCACTTCACAGCACTGGAGCACTGACTACAGCACTTGGAACACATGCCTCAGCTGTGCAAGGGGTATAAACCGTACTTAGTTACATATAAAAATTAAGATTAATACTTCAGCATTTGCATTCAGTAATCGTGACATTTAAGTTTATAGCTGCCTTGCTACATTGAGAAAGTAAAGCCTTTGTGTTTGACTTCATGATCTTCCTCGAGTGATACTGTAATAACCCTAAACAAATAAAGGAACAAATTTATGTTATATCAAAATTATTTATTTATCTTATATGTAATATTACGTATTTTTGTTATAATTTTATTGATAACTGCGTCATCACAACTGGGCTTGCATTCGTTTCAGAAGTGCTCGCGTGCTTTGAAAAAACATTTGTTTTTTAAAAAATCCTTTCGACCCAAATAAACGCGAAGTCATATATGATGACAATCGACTCCAATTCTTTGTTAAGGCAACAGCGGATGGTTCTGTTTTATTTTTTTGCAGTGGTATTTTGTACCCCAGAAGGAGCTTTTCATCCAAAGCTTAGTTTTGTTAGTAAACTATAAATTTCTACACCCGTTCTTTGGAAGCAAAAAATGCAAACACTAACTGACAGCATGCAGTAGCAGTGACAGTGAATGGAACATCATTATTTAACTCTTCATTAGATAATTAATTAATTAATTAATTAATTGTTAATCAATAACTAAGTATAGTGGTTAGTGATAGTACAGGTACGATTACGTAATATGTTTAATTAAGACAGAGCCATGCACATTAAATTCGGAATATTCATGTCATGTCCTTTTTTTCAGGCTACCGGTACCCGTCTCTCGACTGTTGTGAATTCTTTAACCACAGCTGTTGCCTGCACCGTGTACGCTTTGTACAATGGTTGGAAGTTGTCTTTAGTCGTTATGTCCTTTATCCCATTTTTGATCTTCGCTAGTGCTATTCAGATAAAGCTATTCACAGGGCTAGGGATCTCAAACGATGGAGAAGATGAAGTCGTGCAGTCCGGCAAGGTCAGACTTAATTGGCTAATTTATGAAAATTTGAAAAATACTTGTTCTTTCAGCCCACCCGACTTTAAGATGTCGAGGTCGGTTTTTGAAGAACCTATGGTAATGGTCACGTCACGGTTGAAATTTGTGCGACTTATTTAGTTAGGCTCAAATGCTTTGTGAATATCGGACAAAATTTCAATGAAAACTGTATTATTTTTCAGACGATTTGACTGTAGACTCGACGTTGACTGTATTTTAGAATAAACAAGCCATATTTTAAATGACGAAAACAAAAACGCTTCGAGGGGTGAAAGCAGCACTATATTCATGATCTGATGTCATGGATCTACTCGAGAGTGGAATATGGAATATAAAAGCTGTTTATTTACACTACGTAACTAGTATTAAGCGTTGCCTGTAACGGCGTGTTGCATTAAACTGTATTTTGTTTTGATAGATTGCAGTTGAAACAATAGAGAATATCCGAACTGTAGCATCCCTGGGAAGAGAAAATACTTTCTATAACGCCTACGCTCAGGCTATAAAGAATCCATATAAGTAAGTAACAAATATATTTTTTCGACATACTATTTTCTACCAGTTTTACAGCAGACCTAATCTATTTAGTAAAAACAATTACTGTGTTAAGGATCGCGGGTCTTTCAGAGATACGTCAAACTGTTGTCACGTCTACTTTTGTCATTTAGGATAACTGGATTGACAAAGTACCTTTCAGTTTTGACAATTGATAGCGTAGCTAGAGAGAGTTATGGCAGTTTATAGTTGCGACTGTGGGTCGGTCGGTCGTAAACTAGGTACATAACACGTTCAGTATTTTTTTCATTACTTTATCAGTAGTAACAATCAAAACAGCTCAAGTGTTCCACCTAAATAAACTTATTGATTATTTTTAAATGAAGTGACAATGAATTAATGATTGCTGTAAAATTTATGCTGTGTCACGCAACATACAAACTCCTCAAAATCTGTTTGACCATCCTTGTCATATGCATTACATGAACCATCCCTTTCAAATACTACGAGTTGGCTTATAGGGTCCTTAAAAAGTCTTGTCATTAAAAGCCATGTCTGATTTCAGAAAAGCCTTGAAACGAGTTCACTTACAGGGCGCTTTCTTCGGCTTAGCGGAAGCATTCCAATTCTGTGCTTCTGCGGCAGCATTTCGATATGGAGGACATCTTGTGGTAAACGGAGAAATGACCATGGATGAAGTAATAAAGTAAGATACTGTTTACCTTCACTTTATAAAAATCCCTCTATTCACCACACCTGCTCGATCGCAATGCCGTAGCGAAACGTTACTTTCCTCCGTCATTTATAGGATGGTACAAACGTAACGCCAAATTATAAGCTAAAGAGGTAGCCTGAAAATGCCAGTCGTTATCCTTTCTTGAGGCTATAAGAGATAATTACTAGGCTGAAAAATTGTTCCATGTTGTAATCTCAGTTATCAATTAAACATTCGGCAATTTCTCAGTTGTCAGTAGATTTTGCAGATCTTAGAGCTCACTTTTTTTCAGCGGACAGTTGGAATTTTGACCAATTATCTCAGCTATCATTTAGACCCCATCTAGACCCTGTTGGGTGTTTTATATCATAAACGGTTGTGTATTTGTCAATGTTTTTCAGGGTGGTTTTATCCATCGTCGTAGGAGGTGCGGTGCTTGGTCAACTCAGTGCTATCTCGCCAGACTACGAGAAAGCTAAGATCGCTGCTGCTCGTCTCTTTAAAATCTTTGACCGTAAATCTGCAATTGACAGTTCCTCTGAAGATGGTTTAACACCGGTGAGAATGTTCACATCCGCTTGTATTTTTGTGACAAGAAGTATGTTAGCGAGTCTTGAGCTCCTGGAAACTTTAAAAGATAATTCAGTAAAGATTGCTATTCTGTTAAAACGGTTACCTGTTGTTAGAGGCTTTAGGAACTAGACATAACACAGAGCAAGAATAATTCTGGCTGACTTCTTAAAAAACGTATTAATATTTAAAAAAATATTTGCATTTCTCTTGTACAGAGTTCTGTGACAGGGACAATCCAGTTACGCAATGTTCGTTTCCGCTATCCAACACGGCCAGACGTCAAGGTTTTACGTGGAGTCACACTCACTGTCCAGAAAGGACGGAAACTTGCTCTTGTTGGTTCAAGCGGCTGTGGTAAAAGTACAGTGGTTTCTCTCTTGGAGAGATTTTATGATGCCGAGGATGGAGAAGTGGTAAGTAGACTGAGTAGATACAAGGAGAATGAATGTTCTTGTCGAAGAACACTCCAAACAGTACAGCACTCGTCGAGTTGAAATCTAGTTTATAAAGAGAACCATATGTATTGTTTTGTTTTGATCAATGTGATCACTCTCCTTCTGATTAAGAAATCTCATTTCTCGGACTTGTTGACAGGAACAGCATTGATGTACTAGCAAACTCTCAAATCTGGTATTGAAAAAATGTTGGGCATTTAGTTAGGAGAATAAAGAATTAGTCTTAGCTTACAGGGTGTGGATTTATAAAGCGTTAGTTTCTTTTCTTCTGGTAGGGCGTGGGTCTATAAAACTTAAGCACTGGAGTTTTTTTCTGAGACGAAGCACAAAAATAGATTGCTTTGATGCTAATATTCTACACAGCTATAGAAATAGTGAGGCTTAATATTTCCTGTGATCTTTATTTTGTTTCCAGGCCATTGATGGTAACAATGTTAGCACTCTGAACATACAGTGGCTCCGCTCGCATATTGGTATTGTGTCACAGGAGCCTGTATTGTTTGGCTGTAGCATCGCTGAAAACATCGCGTATGGCGATAACTCGCGTGAAGTAAGCAAGGATGAGATAGAAGCAGCAGCAAAAGCCGCAAATATACACAGCTTCATTAATTCTCTTCCTATGGTAAGACAATTTTCTCCAAATGTGTTTTACTCCTTCATTGACAAATTTCAAAACAGATTTAAAGCCAGACCACGAACCTCGGATCTACAGATTGGAAGTCAGTCGGTAGAGGTTGACATTCCCGTTAGTTGGACGGTTTGTGGTAACGTCGTCCCAAGAGTCTTCACGCTGTTTTAAAATATAAAAGACCTTTTTCAATTATTCTTAGATCTGGGATTAGAGCCGAGAACTATAAAACAACAACCGACAACGACTACAACAACAACAACAACAACAACAACAACAACAACAACAACATCCACCACCACCAACAACGACAGACAGTCTCCTTCTCAGCTTATTAACTGGATTACGCTCCGACTTTCTGCGTTAGTTATTATTATCGTGCCACCGTTAGGAGTTATGATGTAAAGGAGTTACTAACAGTCTTCGGTGATTAGGTTTGTTCTTGTCAACCCTTGAAAGAACTGACTAAATCCGAATTTATTCCGAAATATTATTCCGAATGTCACATTCGTGTCGTTGTTTGTAGGGTTATGATACTCTGGTAGGAGACAAAGGAACTCTGATCTCAGGAGGACAGAAGCAAAGAATAGCCATCGCCAGAGCGTTGATCCGCAATCCACGAATCCTGCTTCTAGATGAGGCTACTTCTGCTTTGGATACAGAGAGTGAAAAGGTGAGACGGAAGAGTTTGTGCTTGATTTTTTAAGGACAATTAGTTTGTATTTTTGTAGAACTTTATTTACAGTACCACTTTCTGCTGTTTTTCGCTTTTCAATCCTTTCTAAGTAAGATGTTTAAATTGTAATTCTGGATTGCCACAGGAAAAGAATGTTCCCCCAGAGGTTCTCACTTGCAAGTAACTTGTGCGAGGCAATAATTTCGTCAAAAGTTTAAGACTTCAATTATGATGAGACAAGGGAGCAAGAAAACTGAGTTTGCAGCAATAACCCAATCTAAAATCACGCTTCGGTTAAGTTTCGTTTATACTCAGATTACCACGATAGCAATTGAGAGTGTGAGTTATATCTGATTTATTTATTACCGACAGGTTGTCCAGCAAGCTTTGGACGCCGCCAGTGAGGGACGTACTGCCATCATTATCGCACATCGATTGTCCACGGTGCAGAACGCTGACATCATAGCGGTCATTCATCATGGGCGCGTGGCAGAGCAAGGCACACATCAAGAGCTCTTGGGTCGTAAAGGAATTTATTATAATCTCGTTATGGCGCAAATGCAGAACTAAAATAATTAGGTCTCAAATAATTACCAATATATAAAAATTACCAATGTATTATTGGCTATTGGCCAGATTGAACTCATTACATATGATTACAATTCTGTAACCCACCATTTTAACACATTTTTCTTCTGAATTATAACCATAATAAGGCTCCCTCCCCGGTAAAAAGCCCTCCCGAAGAAAGTTCTCCTTATCTCAGACGCAAAAATCCTTCAGGAAACCCTCATGTGCTGTTATTTATACTGAAAGAGTGTATACCCTATCTTCTTTTAAGCCTTCTTTTGGAGGGCTTGTTTTGTATTTTTATCCCTAACAATATGCTCAGAGACTTCAGTGAGACTTGTGATGTTAACGCTGTCCAAAAGTTGCTCGGCATCTTTTACAGTAACCTTTCATATTTTTTTAGGAAACTTTATGCAATTCTGGGCAACTTTGATTGGTGCAATGTTTAGTTCTTACACTCGTCTTTCCCACATTCTTAGTTTCCTATAGATTTTAACGAGGACCATACAACGTTTCCGAACATCTTCGAATCATTTTTTTTACGACAATTGCTACTAATCTCGCAATCTGATTGGCTAATTTGCCGTTGTCGATAAGAGTCCAGACAACGCTGGGTTGTCTGCGTCTCGTGAGTCCACAACAGCTTGACCTCTGTGTTGACGCATATCGCTGTCGATAAGAGTACAGACAACGCAAAACCACATTCGATTTGTTAATTAGTAAGATCTTTTAGAGTTGAAATCACCAACTTTTGGCTTATTTTCCATCTGTTACAAATTAGTCAGCCAACGCCAATAATATAGGTCAATATAGGTCTACGTGTAGGATACTATTTTCCGCATTTAAGGATGTTCGCGCCCATTGTTACTGCGCATCGTTTCTGTGCACTAAATTCATGTCGCAATGTCACGCTACGTCAGACATCAAGCGGTCGCGTTAAGTGAGGAATACGACAAGTATGGGGCTTGGCACTCGGTGTGCTAACTTCGCCTGCAATTTACTCTCTTGGATGCTCGGTAACCCCCATTTTGCTTTAAATAGATCAATTCCTTTCCCGATTTTATCCATTTTAACAAAAACAGGAAAAATCTGTCTGTGGGGAGTTACAAATCTTTTGCTTTTACTGCTTTCGTGTGAGCGAAGTTTTCTTAGAATGTGGACGGGAAAGAGTAATATTTATTCATTTTCAAGGCCTATTCTACCTCAAGGAGCGGCATCATCTCCAAGAGTTTGAATAATGTACTTATTTTTGCTGAATTGAGTACGTTTACCTAATCTAAATTTCCCTAATGTAGCTTTTTCATGGCCGATAGTTGTACGCCAACTGCGTCTTAAGGAAAACCTCTCAAAACGCAGGGTCTTCAACGCACCTTATCACGAAAACAAGCCCGGTAACCCCCCATTTTTTGGCTTGTTTGCAAAAGTTGGTCTTTGTTTTACTTCATGGTCTGCATGTCCGTGGGAACATTTTGGGTGCGAACGTCGTTAATAAACCTCTAATTGCTAGAGGAAGTATCGACCTCGAAGCATGGGGAAAACCTTTTGTTAAAAATATTGTTGAACCCATTGTTCAAAACATTTATCGGGGGAATTTGTAGACTTTGAATGTGTACTATCGGCATGTAAACGACAATGAAAAACAATAAAATTTATCTGATATATTACACGTGTCTGAGGGAGACGGAAGATGCTAATTAGCAACCTTGTGTCGTATCGTCGACACGCAGTAACCCAGTCAGGTAAATACAGTTTAGGATCATCAATAAAAGAAAACAAAACAAAACAACAACAAAACAACAACAACAAAGCAAAAGTAAAACCTGTGTGCCTCTGAAATGTGTGTATTCATTGAAACCTGGCCAAAGTATTCATCATGCTAATCAATTGAACTAATTCTGCTTCGCATTTCGTGTCCCTATGGCAAGTGAAGATGAATTCTAAGGAGTTAATTATTTGACAGTGATATCAAAATACGATGATTATAAACGTTTTTTCCCCGCATCAGTATAGATGAACTGTGGCAAAAAACAACGTACTTTACTCAATGCCTATACATACATACGTACATACTTATACTTTTGATAAGGTAGGTCTGAAATATGGCAATCTTAGGGCTGGTGTGGACCTGCCGTCAAATTTAACTAACCTAACGTTTTACAAAGAACGAAAATCTTAAAATCTGGGTTTTTAGAATAAATTAGGCAAGCCTCTTTTCCAGACTGTATATGGTCGAGAGACCTGGAGGCATTTTTAAGTCTTCCTTTAAAAAGCTGTAAGGATGAATCGTCATTGATGGCTCTATGGATGGCATTCCGTACCATGACGCTGATATACCTTACGCTATTTCTGACAAGTTCACTGTTATGCTGTATAGAGAAAAGTCATTCATGCGTCTCAATCTGTACTTGTTAACAGTATTTTTATCCCAAGCAGGAATCAAAACTCATTATTTGTTTAATACGTTTCGTACTGATGCGCTTGTGTTTCACATTCTGCCTCGGATAACTCCAACTGCCTAGACATCTACTACAATTTGAAGTGAGTGCATCATTTTAAAACACGACAGCTGTCATTTGCGACAGATCAGTATTAAAATTCACGACAGGAATTATCAGGTCAGATAACTTTTTTTTTGACCAACTGTCGGTCATACGTGTATATCAGAAGCCTTGGCTTTCCAACAAATGGAAATTAGACATATAGCGTAACGTCGGGAGATAAGCGAACCAAAATTCGTGTCAATAGTGCGTTGCGCGTTTTCATACAAAGTTAAGCCTGGATTCCGTTCTCGCTTTATAAAAAAGTTGCTATCGAAAGAATTATTATTAGGCATTTAAGTACGATGTCAAAGCATGAAGTGAAAGGAAGTCTCGCAACTCTCGCAAATTTTCAGTAAGCGTCAAAGTTTCTGACAAAGATTGTGTTCAAACATTTCTCAGTATTGTCACATTGTTTCCAGATACATTCTTAAGTTATAAGTTTTTCAAACCGCGAGTGCGTTTTGGCTAATATTGTCTCCATGTTCGTCATGTCCTGCATCTTTTTGGAAGCTTAATTAAGCATCCTGTGACACAAAACGTCTTGACCATCTGTAATGTCACGATATTGAGATGACCAAAATACCACGAAACGTCGCTCCTATCTGTTATTTGCACGTGGCTACAAAGTTTTCTGTGATGAAGAGTTTTGATCTAATGCGTACCCTACATTTCTCACCACCAATGTACATCTATAGTCACTTATTATGTTTTATTCATTGAAAAAATAGCTACTAATTTCCTGAGGGACATAGACAGCGTCATTTTAGGCTAAATTTCAAAATTTCAAGGGGACAGCTGGGATCATTGAAAGAAACAGTCAAACCTGAATACTCCGCAACCCACAAACCACAATTACATTACAACAGGGAACTTCAAATTTTGAAACCACGCACGACACGTTGACTACTGAGACTAAAGTCAAAGAGTCAAGAACTTCCGATTATGATAATGAAGCAGAAAATTTCTAAAACTTCCTCCACATACTCCATATACTTAAGCTTACTCTATAGATACTCTTGTATGTTCACTTATTATGTTTTAATATATTTAAAAATATACGCAAAATTGGGGTAAAAACTGATAAAAAGCTCTCTAAGAACAAAACCAGCGAGATTTTAGACTCAGTTTCACAATTTCAAAGGTCCAACCTTAATAAACTCGTCAACCTATAAACCACAACAGAATTAAAACAGGAAACGCTTAATTTTAAAACCACGCACGGCAAGGGACCAGAGCAAAAGAGACAATAACTTCAAATTATGATAATGAAGCAGAAAATGTCTAAAACTTCCTCTCAAAACTGAAAGAACAAGTGACTTTTAACCAACCTTTTGAGTCAAATTCTGCTATTCAAAGGTGTAACAATTATTCCACATTTGTTATTTCTCGATATAAGATGGAAAAAAGTTCCCTTCGTCCAGCTATAATGTGTTCGATTGATTTCAATCTTACGGGCGTTCAGTTTCTGGAGTTTATTTATTTCATTAGAAGCAGTAGTGCGGGTAGCTTTATAGAGAGCAGGAACAAAAAAGAAATTAACCTTCGTATTTTTTCACATTATTTTGTAACCATATCTTTTTTAAGTAGCCTTTGAGCCCAGACAAAGTAGGGAAATTGCAATTAAAAAAGTGGAGTTTTTGTCTATTGATCGACTGGTTCAAAATTACTCAATTTTCCGCGACTTCATTTAGTGGTGTACACACGTTTCGGTCAAATGTTTGTAATTCAGTTCAAACGCAGTTTCAATTTTACATTTCTAAGTCACGCGTTATCATCATTTATCTTTCTCTTCTACAACTTTTAGAATAAACTCGTCTTTACATGGAAATATTATTTGCGCTGGTCTTTCATTTTATCCATACTTGATATCTTTTTCTGTATTTTTTCCCCCACCTTTCCGTTTTATTTCTTTTATGAAAACAAATTACTTTCGTGCCTTGAGGCTAAAAGATTTTAACATTTGTTGAGCAAGTCGGCTACAACTGTGGGACTGTGGCGCCAGTGTTGTTAACGTCAAACAAAGGTCTTTTTTCTGCAACTATTTTTACCGTGAAGTTTCTGTAACTAGTCGCTTATGGACCCTTTCACAGAAACGACTGCCTTCGTAACAAATAACATCCAGGTCCACGCGCGTGACTCTGTCTTTCAATGGCGTAAGACTGATAAGTCGCATGACTGATTTAGCATACACATTGCTTTGTTTTTTTTAACTAAAGTTGTCTTATCACTCTGCTTGGGAAGAAAGGAAAGAATTTTCTTAAAGGGTGTGCTGTTGAGTCATATATGATGCTTCTCGAAAAAATATTGTGAATCTTCCTCAATCGTGCTTGTTCCTTTTGGTTAGTCAATATGCGCGACATCGCTGTTTGAACCTTTTTCTGGAGTAAACTGTTATTTTTCAAGGTAATTTTACTTTTTATATTGCGAAATAGTTCACATCAAGGGTATAGTCACTGCCTTTGAATAACATTAAAGTAGCTATGTGGGTATTTTCCTTAAAAGTACTTCATTGAAAAAGAAGTTGTGGAGGAAATTTTACTCATTTTATTCCTTTCAAGTGTCCTCGGTTAGCGGATGTGTATGACCTTGGTGCTTGCGTGCGGCGATATTTCTATGCCATGATGCGATGAACAACAGATGGCGTCTGTGACAACCGAATTAGTTTCATAGAAATGTGCTTGTCCGTAATTCCATCAGAAGATAATTTAAACTGTGTTGCAAGCAGATGCTGAAAGAAAAATAAAACGTGGGGTTTAATTATAAATTTGCATCAATTAAATTCAACATTTTATAATGTACAACGCCGCAACTTCTTTTCATATTACCATTGAGGTTATATTCTGAAGCTCTTTCCTTGTGCTATCCACGTCGAAGGTAAGAACTTCTTTTTATACAAGTGTGTTCTATACTAACTCGTCCAAATCTGAGATAGGGACTTTAATGGATCTAAAGGAAGAGGAAACGTTCTTATTCGATATGTTCAAGAAACTGAGCCTGTATCAGCGTTTGTACCAGCGAAGCGGGAATTTATTGCAATTATTCTCCGACCAAAAAGACCATAACTAAAAATCCTTTTACTTTTGGTCAGTACTTCATAGCAATTACCCGCGTGGTGAGCCATTTGAAAAAGTAATCTGGTGTAACTGAACTTAATTGGCGAAACAACTGTAAAAGCAGACTTTCAGTGCTGGGATGTAGTAAAGCGTAATTTGGCCGATAACTTTGACCAAGTTAAACCATTTAATCTCAAAGCTTCAACCACTAATCTATAAAACTTTTGTTTAGATGGTGAACTGTCCCAAAGCTGCAGTTTTTACTACATTGGTTATTCTCCTCCTGCTATTAGCGGCCGTGCGTCCATCCGAATGGTGTATGAATACGTGTGAAAACAGATCCAGCTTTTGCTTAAACGGGTGTGATACCCATTTTTGTGCCGGAAGATGTACCAATGATTTAAGGTACTGCTATTCCAAGTGCGACAGAATCAAAAGAAAATTAATGTCAAAGAAATATATTGAAGAGAACGACTTCTATGATGGTTTTAAATAATAACGACAGCACTAACTGGGAAACTTGTTCGTTTGTTGTAATTAATCTGTCAATTTGTAGGTAAAGAGACGATTTGTAGCTTATGTGCAGAAACGGGTAGACGACTCAAATCTTGAGAAGAACTTACTTGAAGACAAAGAGATGTATGGTTCTGGCTTACGTTGTGTACAACAGTAATTTCGATGCCCTCATGAAATGACTTCTGATAATGATTATTGATGAATAAATCAAAAGAAAGAAAAGCAAAACTGTTTTGTTACAGTCATAATCACGTAACTGAAACAAGTCTCTAAGAGCAGCCCAAATCTCGGTTAATTTCGAGCTGACTGGAAAATGGGTGCAGCAAGCAAAATTCAGTGTTTTTCCATGGCCGTGAAAACGCCAAGGGATTGGTGTCAAAGGAACCCGAAATGCTGCAGCGATATAGAAACTTAGCCAGCCTATGAAGAAACAGATAACCGGAAGAAAGGACCGAAAACTGGATGAATATACTACGAAATTTTGAACTTAAAATTACGGTGTTGCTACGGACAACTCTCCTCGTTTCCAACGGTAACAATATTGTCGCCCGCAATTTCGAGCGCTTTGCCGCCATTGACGTCGAAGGCCGACAAGTTGACAATGGAAACGGATCCAATTGCCCGTGACAACAACAAAAATTGAACTTCAAAACCTGATCACTAACTTTCGTCGCGCCTTACTCAACTGATAATCGTAATATTCAAAGTCAAAAGGAAGTGTCAGTTAAACTCTGGACACCCTACAGGTAGCCGGTACTGATTTGGCACTTTGTAGAGCCCGATCAGAGTACAATTTTGGACCAAAATGGTGGTAGCAAAGAACTATTCAAGTGTCACTGTTTTTATATCAAAGTTGAAGAAAATCCTCTTTAAGCTAGCCTACAATTTGTTTTTAATAAGTCTTTTAGTATTCTATGTGAAACCGGAACAATTTTACGTCAACAAATGGCCAAAATGAACGACCGAGTATCTAAGGAGAGACTGGGTACTAGTAGGTTAAATCACGTTTTTCTGAAAATCTACCCGTATGACCCCACCTCAAAATTTCAAGAATAAGCAGTTGGCTTTGATTTAACATTCATGCAAAGTGAAATAAAAATTTGTAAGACAGATTTTTCGCAAACTGAGAAAACGTGAAATCAAAAATAAACATTTTGGTTCTAAACGTGATTCACCCGTACAAATTAACTGTGAAAATTTCAACATGGGTTTTACGGTATGTTTTCGAGTAATCCTCGATCAAAGACTACCTTTTACAACCTTGGACGAGAATTGAATTGCGCATGCCCGTTATTTAAGCGCGCGCTAATGTGACACCATGTATCGCGTGCGAGATAGCAAGAGTAAATAAAAGCTCTTTCACCGGTCGTTTATCGAGCTTTTTTGTCATATTTTTTCGGCCTTAGGCTTAAAAACATGTTTGAACGGAGTTTGAAACTATTGCTACGTATACCGAAGTGATTTATCGCCTTTCAAGTGCTGAAGTGGTTTTCGTTTCTTCTCAGGGTTACTTGCATCATTTGTGCACGCGTGATTAATGCTGACGTCTGGCAGGCAATCATAGCGCGCGCTACTGAGTCTCCGAAATACTGTAGTAAGCCACCTTATTATATGGCTTTGGCTTGTGGCCGATATAACGCGCGCTCTGATTGGCTAAGAGCGAAATCTGAGCGNAAAAGGTAAAACGCGAGAGTTTGTGCTTGATATTTTTAAATAGAACCAGTTTGGATTTTTGTTATGTGCAGAACCACTTTCTAGTGGTGCCCTCCGCTTTTCAATTTTTTTCCAAATAATCTTCTTAAATAATGGTTTGGATTACCACAAGAAAAAGAATTTTAATTCCAGAAGTTTTCAGTCGCGATAAGAACTCCCGGCAAATCGCGAAGAGATCTCAGTTTCGCCAAGAAAGCACAGGATAGCAAAGAATTGAATTTGCAGCAATGACCTGATCTAAAATCACACCTCGTTAAAGTTTCGTCTATAAACAGATTGGCACGATATCAGTGGAGAGCGTTAGTTATATCTGGTTCATTTATTATTGACAGGTTGTCCAGCAAGCTTTGGACGCCGCTAGTGAGGGACGTACAGCCATCATTATCGCACATCGATTGTCCACGGTGCAGAACGCTGACATCATAGCCGTCATTCATCACGGGCGCGTGGCAGAGCAAGGCACACATCAAGAGCTGTTGGCTCTTAAGGGATTTTACTACGCTCTCGTCACGGCACAAATGCAGGTCCCAAACAACTAACTGTCATAAAGTTGTTGCACGTTATAACCAAGTTATAACGCGAGGCATAAATGGTGAGTTGGCGTTCAGTTCTATGCCACAGTGAACTGAAGCCCAGTTGTGGATTCCGTGGACCAGATATCTCTTTTGTCATGTACTGATTCAAGATAACACTTACACAGAACTCTCCTACACACGATGTAAGCACTGAAAGTTGTACGAAAATACGCCTGACTGAAAAAAAGTAATGAAGGTCGTATGAATTGTTTGTGTTTTTATCATTTGTAATCATTTTTACAGTAGATTGTTTTTTTTAGGCCTCATCGATATGAGACTGGCATAAAGGCAAATTCTTTTGTAGACATGTTGGTAGCAACACATATCATGATTTATGTTAAATATCAAGTATTAGCAGATCATCTCATCTGCCATTGCATTTGTTTTGAGATGTTGACGTTACTTTCGTAATTGTAAGTGTTTGTAAAACACGTTAATCGTATCTATAACAAAATTCTTGATGGTCATTGGTTCTTCGCACACCAATTTGTGACGTGATCGGCGTCCCACTAATTGGCTGTCTAAGTATGTTTTTGAAGTGACTTAAGCGATATCCCCCTGAACTGCACTCCACTCGGTCCATTTACTATCACTAATATTACCCTATTTTATGATATCTCGGTTACCGCGTGCGCTGCGAGCGCTATGGTGGGTTAATTTAACGGGTCTTATCCTTGAGTATGGACCGCTCAAATTCGCAGCAGCTTTTATACCCATGTCTTGTTTATGGTTATTGAACACTAAAACGTTTCTTTCACCAATAATTTTGACGACATGTATTTAAACGTGCTAACAGCACACGGACTTCGAACTCGATTAGTAACAGGTACTTATTTTGTTATTTTATTTTATTTATCACCAATAATTTTGACAAATCTGAAGAGGAAATCTTCGGATAATTGTTTTGCTTTGGACCTACAAGTCTAATTTCAGTTGAACTCTTTATATCCATCTTGTTTAAGTTATGCTTTTATTGTAGATACTTGTTCAAGTACCGTATTTGTACCTTTTATCAATAATTCTACTTCATATTGAATCTGAATATAGTGGTCATACTCTTAAATCAAAGCTAGTTTCCAGGCATGCCACTCAAACACAGCAAACATCTGAAACGCAAGTCTCAAATAAACACAACATGTTTAGAATCCCAGCGAGCAGCAGGAGGTAAACCTGTTGGCCATTTAGAAAGCGTTACCTCGGAATTTACTATGGGGCCACCGAAAATAAATCTAACTTCTGAAAGAGTTGAGCGCTTACGTTACCGTACATTGTTTTTATGGCATTATTTTGTTGTTAGAGTGGCATACTGGAATATGGAAATCGCCGTAACAATATGATTAATTGGCATGAAAGTCTTTGTAGGTAGCGCTCTATGACAACCAGGAGTTGGCGACGGCCTAGCATTTGGTGTGAGATGTTGACCAACAGTTTACTTTCGTAAGAAGACTTGTATGCATTATCCCGATACGTTTTGTTAAAACAGCGGCAATATTGGACAAGTATGAAATGTATGGAAAGCTTCGGTGAAATGTTTGCTTCATTTCGGTTTTAACCAGCATGTTCAGTTATTTCTATTTTTAAAAACTCCTTCATATTTGTGTAGCGTATGTATAATCCAAACAAAATGTTTTTTTAAAATATGTTATCTTCGTTTTATTTACAGATAGTTGTTTGAAGGCTTTGAAGGTTTAAGACTTGTGAAATGAAATAATTTATTCCCCGTAGTTCTAATATTCGGTTGACAGCCATTAGCTATCATTTTTCTCTCTTCCCAGTCAGATAAAGAAATTCACAGTTTATGTTTACCCCTGGTCTAGTCGGTCTAGAATATAGGTACTCGATTCGGGTTTGTCGACTAAATCACGCACAAGGCCGTTTTAATGCGGCAGTCTCATAGAATTCAAAAAATTGTGACCAGTTTTGATTTCAACCATGTCATTTCTACTGAAGGGAAAGTTATTTCATTTCATGCGTATAGTAGAGTGTATTAACCAATTGATAGCCAGTATGTATTAGCATTGGACAATTAACCTTTTCAAATCAGGTCATTACAAGAGATCACACGAAATAGTATGTACCGGACGAGCCATTGTTACTTCATCCCTCAGCGAAGATCTTGCTTGTAGTATTAAAGGAGCAAAGTCACGGTTGGCGAATCTTGAAAAGTTTAGCCTAATAATTGCGTAATCCGTGTCAATCTTGTCCATTCTAAACCATCCTTGTACCTTTATGGTTTATTATTATCTCATTGTTGTTTTTTTTTGTTTGTTTGTTTGTTTGTTTTTTATCTTAGTTAACTATTATTTTCAGGTTTCCGTCAATAAAAAGGGAACTTTGTACTTGGCCAAAATTAGCCTGCGTAGCTTGGCGGTTTAGCAATTTGAGCGCGCCAAGAAAGCGGCGAAGACGCGAAGAGCCTGGGATCGAGACTACTGTTCCTCGCGGCTTCGCCGCTTTATGAGCTCACGCTCAAATTGCCTAAAAAATAGCTTAAACCGCCGAGCAACGCAGGCTGGGCCAAAATATCATGACTGAGCTCCTTTAAGAGCAATCGTCCCAAAATTTCGCCTAGAGGTGTGCAAAATGAAAAAATCGAAAATCCCCAAACTNTGGAATGGCATGTTTTGTCCTTTGTGCCACTTTCGTCTGGCGCCCTAAAATTTCGCATTTTAAGTAGCCAAAAATTTTATTGCAGCTATTTGAAGACGAAACCCTGTTCTTTCGCTGGATTAACTTGACGTAACTCCATGCAATGTACCAAGGTGCTATTTTACCCTCTCAATTCCGCCTTTTTTTTGTCCGCCGAAATGAGTGAAATATTGAAGAAAAGAAAAAATCGCCCAAAAATTCAGTTTGCGATGGAATCGGACAAATAACATTGCAGACTGTTCGTAAATATGCGTTCTTTTCATTAAGATATTCAATGGCCAAATTTACCGTTTTGTTTATTTTTAAGCGAAGCTCAAATAATGCGTTGTTTGGAGCTCGTGAAACTGATGTGAGAGCCGCCAAACCGCCGTTCGCGTAAAATAAAAATCTAATCGAACTTAAAGTATTTTTCTAGAAATATTTCATCCAGACCTATATTGGGGCAAAGTTTGGGGATTTTCGAGTATTTCATTTTGCATACCTCCAGGCGAAATTTTGGGACGATTGCTCTTAAATGGCTAAACTCACGAGATAAAGACATATTTATCGACAAACGCGATCGTAGCTTTATGTCACGCACCGCCATAACTGAAATTCAAAATGCGCTGGTTTCCAAACGAACGACATGTAACGATGTTATGATGTCATAGGCCCTTCGGGCTTGCGCAGTAGAATGAGACGTATCCCGGATGTAGTCGTTGTTGTATAACGGCTAGTA